GGGGGGGGGGGGGGGGGGGGGGGGGGGGGGGGGGGGGGGGGGGGGGGGGGGGGGGGGGGGGGGGGGGGGGGGGGAGTGGGTACAGTACAAGATATATGTTGTTTCGGCCGAGGCTGGGTTAGTCCTAGGGCTATGCTACGAATGGCCGTTCTCAGCCGGGCTCACAAATTGAAAGACTGTCGTGGCCAACGTCTTCCTACGATATCTTCAATGGACTCAATCATGCTGCTCAAGTGTAGTTCTATGTTTCGAATTCTTCGACGCCCAATTTCTTAGCTGTACACGCGCACATGACGCACCATGGGCAGGTTGTTAAGCTTCCTCACCGCATCATCTCTCTTACCAGGAAATCGACCATGACCGACTTCATCTTGGTCTGTCCAGACTTGAAGTCGTCTCCGCCGATGTACACCTTGTGCTCTTCCGCCAGCTCGATCACACCAGGAACGAACGTGTTCTGCTCAGAAGAAAAAAAAGAAGAGAGGGGTCAACGGGGGCGGCGGGGGAGAACTGGAGGAGGAGGGGTTCTAGCCTACACTGGCAGAATGTTCAAGACAGCAGTGGGATATGTGATGCGAATGAATGCCAAGCCCACGCAACACTTGCGCGGGCTCGAACGCGGAGCTGGGGCAATGACGGCGCCTTGTGTCTTGACAGCGACAGGCTTATTCGGATACCTCAAACGATCCTTTCATGGTTGGGTACATTGTCATCAAAGCCGGGTCCGCATCCTCGTCTGCACGAAAAGCAGGGTATCAACATTACTGCATAATAGGATGGTTCGCGTTATACTGAATTGAAGGGGCTCTACAAGATGGACTTGGTGATCCCCTTAAGATCACACGCAGGAGATCATCAAGAGAAACTCTGCACTGAGCCCATTCTTGTACATGTCACAATCGTGAACCCATGCGCAAATCGAAGCATCGACAAGTCGATGCAAACACCAGCATCCGCCCTCGAAGACCGAGCTGCAAGTAAGGCAGACAGACAACTATGGGGGAACGTTCAACCTGTCTGGATCTGCCCTCCATACTGCTGCTTTCAACGTATAGTGGTCTTGGCCACGGAAGGCATCAATCGATTAATCGTAGCTATTCCCACCAGCTGGCCCACGAAGCATTTTGCAGGGGGAATTTCGACGATAACACAGCCTTACTTCGCCTGAGTGCTCACCATGCTAAGAGAATTCGGAGACGGTTTGCCTTTGAGCTGGCCTGTACTCTGTCGGTACGGATTCGTCATGTTTTCAAACGTCATGAGCTACTGATCGACCAACTTCCACCACTACCAATTGGTTGGGCAGTAAGTAGTAATATTGGTGAAAGCGACAACCATGATGAAAGCAGGGGAAGGAAAGGAAGGAGAATGAAGGCCATGATGGCGGAGGAAAACATGGCGTGGAAGAGAGTTGAGGGTTAAGAGCCAGGTGACCTTCCCCGCAACAAACTACGCACGACTGGAGAGGACCTGCCAAAAAACAGTGGGAACACTGGCAGCAGGAGTGGCCCTAGAAAATGCAGATAAGACGATGAAAACAGTGCAGAACGCACGTGCATCATAAGTGGTAGCAGCCATGGCAAACACGCGTTTCCTTATTGCTAAGGTATCTGTCTTTCATACGGTAGCGTAGACTTCCCCATGACGCTCGGTCACAGGGTCCCAGGTCGTGGCTCGAGGTAGCATATTGTGTTTTCCATTGCACTGAGACTGAAGCATTTTCATTGGTCAGCCCGTTAGTGCGGTCGATGCTTATAAAAGAAGACTAGAAACACGCAACACACCTGCGGCGAACCGTTGATGTAAGAGCATCCCTCCAGGATGGAAGCGCACGCGAAAATGGTGGAAGGGGATACCTGGTGAACAAGGCATACGCGCAAGGAAGATAGAGGGGGAAATTCAACGTTCAGGGCGATGAGCCCGCAGCAGGCGCAATTTGTGTGACTGCGTTGTGAACGTCTCCTCCACGGCGCCCCTGCCGGTGGGGGTGGGGGGAGGGGCGCGGACTAGAAAAGCTTTGCTCCTTTCGTCCGTCACCCGTGCCGCGCAATCGATGCCCAGACCGTAAGAAAAACACGCACACACTTCTTACAAACCGCGTTTTCGTCGAAACACGACTCCTTTTTTCGTTTTTCGGAAGGGTGAGATTCTCTTCCGGGTCTCCTCCCCTCGTCTAATAAGCCCTGCCCGAGTGCATCCGAGTAGTTATACTAGAGGGAACGTGAAAGATCTCCGGAACAGCGCGAGCGAGTGCGATGATCTCTTCCAGTCTCTCTCTGTGTCTCAGTCCAGCAACACTATAATACTATCTCTGTTTCCCTTGTATCTGTCTGTCCGTCTGACCTCCTCCTCGCCGCGGGTGATGGAGGCGAGAATGTTCTCCTTGGTGTCGTTGATGCCCGGCTCCAGCGCCGAGAATCTCTCCGTGTTGGCGGTCCACAGCACCACCACCTTGTCAAGGTTGTTCTTCTTCTTGAAGTCGCGGATGTCCTTGCGGATCTGCGGTTTCGCCGCCATTACGACACGCAAGTGATTTCAGAGTCGTCGTTATCAGAGGGAGTTTGATTGGTTAGTGCCATCCCGGCCCCTGCGTTGATGGTACATACCACGCTTGCAGATTTGTAGTGACATCCAATCATCATGAAGCTTTTGCATGGTTGTATCATTCCATTGTTTGGCGTACGCGGACGTCCGTACAGCTCTGCCACAGAATACACCTGTAGATTTAGGTCTCGAAGCTTTGTTGATTTCGGGCTCTGATCCTGTAAGAGAGTTTCGGGTTCTAGATGCGTTTCAACCGCGTTGTCCTGGGTCTACTCATCAACACAATGGTGGGCCTGCACTAATACAAGACAGAGGCGACGGTAACAATCAACAGCAGCAACAGCAACAGCGACGACCACACCAATGACAATAGCAACAGCACCATCAACAACAGCCAAAACAACATGAACCAACAAGAGCAACAACTCGCAACCACACCCCAAAGCAGCAACAACAACAAGAACCACACACACCTGATCCATCTGCTCCTGCTTGGTGCCAGTCAGGACGTTGTCGGCGCGCTCTGACTGGTTAGCCGCGATGAAGTCGGGGAAGTAGATGGACGGCAGCGGCTTCATGTCCACCATCATCGGTTTCAGCTTCTGCTGCAGGTCGTAGTCCTGTTTTTTGGCCACCACAACGAACACCATGCCGCAGTATCCGCCAAACAATCAGAGCACACACACACATTACCACATTTCCAAGCACCCTTTGGAAATTAAGGCAGCCTCTACAGCATTACAGCAGTTTGGTAGTAGTCCCTGAACACGGCAGGACATTGTAGTGGGAAGGGGTTGGTCCAGGCAAGCACTGGCGAGATTGGGGAGAGCCAAGACCGTAAGTGTGCAAAAGTTCTTCACAAGAACATGCGCACATACGAACGTGACAATAAAATAAAATAAAACGTTATTTCCCGACAAACACAAGAAAAAAAGCGCCAGAACGGAGGCTTTCACCATGTCGCTTCGTCATGTTTCGTACATGGGGCCACACTTCCATCCAGACAGCAAAAAACGCACCAGAACGGAGGCCTTGACCATCGCATCGGCCAGGTTGTCGCTGCAGATGTCCCAACCCCCGAGCACGAAGTCGTTGGGGTGAGCGGTGGGCAGGAGGTTCCGCAGAGGAACGTTGACGGCGTTGCCGTTGGAGTCGTTGCCGAGGCGAACGGTGGAGGCCATGCACAGAGACCCCCAGTAGTTGGCCGTCTTCTCGCCCTCCTGTTGTAAATAGAACGAAGGACACGCAAAACCGGGATATTAGTAGAATGAAAAAATTACAGCAGCAGTTCAGACAGCAGTACTTGCTCGCGTAGAGTTCCCAGCAGTCGACGCGAGGCGCCAAGAGCAGTAGCGGTGCAAAAGGAAACGAAGAAGGACCAATAATTTATAGAAATAATCGAAGAGCGTTGAAAAATCTTGTGACCAACAAGCGGGAATGCAGAGGAGCCTAATTGATCGGTTCAAAGAGAGCAGACCACGAGCGTAGTAAGCGACGCGAAAGATAGAAATTGTGCCCGTTCCCTCAACTCTGGTGCGGAGAGCTCCACTGCCTGACGCCCGCTCGCCATTGAACACAAGTTAAAAAGACTTGTCAAAACAGGGCCATCGTTTTCCCAACCATGAAAGTTCTGTATGATCACAACCATGGAACCCACCCCTCAAGGAAGAAAACTTCGTGGAAAAAAAGAAAAAAAGGAACGTTCCAAGTTGCCTTCTAGTTTCTCATACTCCGTCCCCACTCTTAAAAAACTGGACAAACAAAACAAGACGAAACTTTGAAGGCGCTTAGGTACATAACAACGCAACTGGTTGGGATTCCACGCCCCGCCCCCCCCCTCGCCAAACAAGAACAATTTTTGACGACCAGCTCCGGTTCTTTCTTTCCTTGTGAAACGTAGCCTGGGCCCACGACAACCCGGCATATCGCTCCGTCCGAACATGCGTTCGCGTGACTACACCCCGCCCCCCTCAAAGACTGAAAATTGAATGTTGTGTACTGCCGCTATCGACTCGCCTTCGTGTTCCAAGTCAGGCCGTGCTTATTGGCCAGGATTCCCGCGGCGACAGTGCTGCCGTTGTTGCCGCCGAGCCCCACGAGCATCACGCCCACCTTGGGCACCTTGGTCTGCGTCTTGAAGTAGAGCGTCTCGCTCTTGGGGGTGACAACGTTTCCCTCCACGAGAGTAGTCTGTCGCGTAGGGGAGGGGTGGTGGGGGGAGGGGGGTGAGGTTGGGAGAAATAGCTGAATAAATGACGGGCCACACTACTGGCCGTATGACCTTGACACAGGAAAACCGATGAGGGAAAACCGCTGTACCAAGGTGTCTAGCACAAAAGTGACACGCTGGTGCTGGCTGCTGGTTGGAAACTTCCGTGCCGTTTACCTTCGACCATACACCTCTTCTGCCCGCTCAAGAGTGGAGCAAAATAATCGCGTAGTTGAGAGTTCGGGGGCGCTATCGTACGGCCGTGCATATACCTCTGTAACGTGCATGTGTTGTGCGAACACAAACTACCGAGATGATCATGCACAGGATTCGCGACCAACACAACGTGTTTCTTGGTACATGATAATTTAAGTACATCCGTGCGAAAAGCCTCGTCATTGCATCATGTCCAGGAGGCCTTCAAGACTGACTGCTGTGATGCGACACGGTGCGGCATCAAACCACCCGGCGGTGTGACCGTCGTTTGACCGTTTGACCGCAAAAAACTTGTGGACAGCAGCAGTGCGGTCTGCTGTCTGCTCTCACTTTTCTCTAACGGTCACCCGCGCGCTGCATGCATGATTTGGTTGATCCATACCAAAACGACCAAAAGATTCGCTCCAAACCATTGGAAAATATAACTTCAATGTTCTAGAGACTCTTCGGTAGATTCGGTCCGCACGTGAAAAAAAAGGACAGCAGTGAACCCTCAAACTGTCAACCCACATAACCACCACTGCTGCTTGCCTTTTCCTACGGTTCTTCCTTGTGCGGGCAACGCGGGGAAAGCCGAAAGGCCGAGTTCGCCCGCCCTGTGCATGAATCATGTAGTGTGAAAGAAAAAAAAAAAAAAAGATTCGCAGCTTGTGGTAGTACGTCATCATGGAGTCGATGCGTCGATGTAGGAAGGCACTTGTTCCGCGACTGAACCACATCGGCAACGGGCAACAGCGAGAAAAGGGTGTTTTTCCCGCACACCGTAAGCTGCCTTCTCGCTGAGAGCATAGACAGGATAGTCATGGCACCACCGCAGCAGTGGCGAGCGGGGGGGATGGCAGATATGTAAGAAGTCGCACGGCCCTGCTGTTATCAGCCAGTGCGCGTCGACGACCCTGTCCTGCTGTTGCCGCTTGCATAAATCGTTCGTTTCAAGACCCCCCTTGAAAAGAAGAGACCCACGCATAGCTAGCTGCACAAGGGCTAGCACCGACATGCGTGACGGTGTGCCTCAGCTACTCTTGCAATTGAGGCAGCAAAGTGAGGATTGTAATGGCGGGATACATTCTGGAACAAACACCCAGGATACCACCTGCTGAACCGTTCTGGAACAAACGGGATACGTGGCGCGACACTCCGTTTTGATGAAAAGAACAACGATATCAAAAACGAAGAGCCCGTACCTGGTAAATGTACTTGGACACCATCTCGTCATCGGTGTAGGTCACGTCCGGGCTCCGCACGATGAATGGCTTGTCGTTGAAAGTGGTAGAGCTCATGTTCTCTCAGCTGTCTCTGCTGTCTCTGCTGTCTTTGCTGCTTTGCTGAATTTGACGATGTGACGAGGCTTCTCCTGCAGGGCAGGCTTGCTTACTGCTGTTCTGTAGAGGTGCAAAATGTGGAGATTCACTGTGCCGGCGGAAAGGAAGTTGCTTTGGATATCCTTAGGTGGTGAGCTGTACCAGCAAGATGATCACGTGTGGGGATTGGTGGGGATAGTGCAGTGACTGAACGAGTTGGTGAAATAAGTGAGTGCGTCGCATGCAAGATCGGCACGGGGGCACCGCGCGCCGGATTAGGGCGCATGTAGCGGTACCTCGTTGAATACCAGCCGCGTTACCCTCCTGGTTTCCCCGCGTGCTGCTTTGCTGTGTCGCACAACCAACGCAACAGCGCTGTGTCACCGGTTGGAATGCGACTGAATCGGTGCTTGGTGACGGGCGTGTATATGGCAGCTCAGAGCTTCTTTTCCCGAGGAGCTTCATTCAGAGGGTAGGCACGGAATTGACATTTCTCGTGTAAAGCTTACGCTTTTTTGGGGCTCGGGGTCGACAAGGTATACCTTTTCAGTGTTAGTTAGCCAGCGACCACGGGAATCGACCGTGTCGAGTGTTGGATCAGTACGGACATACGAAGTAACTGGGTAGAGAGAGATCGGAACGGTTTTATTGTGAACACAACAACAACAAAACATGTTCCTTGAAGTTGGGTACGGCGGTACACGTGTTCTGACAGACCTGCTGCCTTCCATCGCTGCACTACCAGAGCATCTCAGCCTCAGGTAATTGAACTTCGGCATGACCCTTTTGGCGCTACCGTACAGAGCTACGGCTGCCTTTTCGTCATTCGCCGCACGTTTTGAATCTGTCTGGTTCGCGCGCACAGATCCTCATATGTGACCCGCTTCCTGCAATACCGTCTACATTTTTTTTTCTCCCATTGTTGGATTCTGTCGTCTGCCCCTCTGGCCTCCATCCTCCACTTCTACTGGCTAGACGACTCAACCGGGGTCACATGGAGGGGGGGGTTGGACCCCCTCCTGTGGTTCCTGCCTGAGATATTTTTATCGCGAGAAGGGTACAGCAATCCCTTCCCTCGCGACTTATGAAGTCTATCAAGTTTACTAATAACGCGCTTTGCGGCGCGTCGCTTCCAACGGAGACCAGGATTTAATGGTGAGACAAATCTCACGCTGTCGGGACTCGAACACATGACCTGGCCCTTGGCAGGCTGCGAGGTTACCCACTAGACCACCGGGGCGACCGGTGTATATACAGTGACATGGTTGTACATAGGACGAGGCCCGCTACATCATGCATGGTACACGTGTAGACTGACCGATTTCCCCCCACTTCCATGTTTGTCGGCGAACTGCCCAAGAATATCGCGTGCGGGTCCACTATGTACCGTGAAGGGCTTACCCTTACCCATTCCCCCCCCGGCGTTTGTCGCCAGCAGGCTTGGCAGCGGTAGCTGCAGCAACGGACTGCGTGCGGGGCGGCTCGCAGGCCGAGTCAACCACCGCCACCGCCACCTCCACGTCCTCGCAAATCCCACCGCAACAAGCGCCGACACAAGAATAAGCAGTAACATGATGATCGGTAGTAGCAGACCACCAGCATCCGCCGCCGACCCACGCTGCCCAATACACGAGCTCGCGACCAGTAGCAGCAGCGGCGAAGGCGGCGGGTCCGGCCGAAGACGAAGCAAGTCCCACCGGCGTCGCCGCTCCCGCAGCGAGGACGAAAAGGACAGACGGCAGGCGGGCAAGGCTGGCGGGGACGGCTCGCCGCCGAGGGGGGGGCGGCTGGGCAGCCACGGTGCCCACAGGGCCCCCGGGGCCCCCGGCAGGGTGAAGAAGAGGGAAAGCGCGGGCGAGGACGGGGATGGGCGGCGGCGGCGGCGCGGCGGCGGACCGGCGGCCAAGAAGAAGAAAGACGGTGCGGACGATAACAGGCTAGACAGAAGCAGCAGCAGCCGCCGTAGCCGGAGTCCGAAGAAACAGCAACAGGGGGGCGGCGGCGGCGTGCCTCAGCTTCCCCTGTTCGGGCTGGACATCCCGGAGGACCGCGTGCACGTGGTGGACACGCCCGAGGGCGTGCGGGACGCCGCGGCCGTGCTCGGCAGGAGCGTGTTGATGTCCGTAGACACGGAGACGCAGCCGTCGTTTGCCGTGGGAGAGTGGCACCCGACGTCCTTGCTGCAGGTCGCCACGAGGGACGCCAACGGGGAGGAGGACGTGCTCGTGATAGACCTGCTCTCCCTCAAGGACGGCTTATTCCTGCCCGAGAGCTTGAGCGAGGCCCTGTCCGGCCCGTTCGGCTCGCCGAGCGTGGTCAAGCTAGGTGGGCCCCTACACGTAGGTCTCATGCCCACTAATGTGTCGGTAAATTGTTCCTACAACAGTTTCCTCCCTGCTTGCGATTCATTTACTACATAACATGTGGGTGATTTATTTTTGCTGGTGGCGTTCTCAATCTCGCCTTTGTGTGGGTTTCAATGTGTGCAAGCCCCCCCTCCCCCCCCTTTACCGGCGTTTTACTCTCTCCTTGCGTGAGCTTTTATCTCCTGTTTTTTTTTTTTTTCGCGAGCAGGTGTCGGATTAGCCAACGACCTGGACGAGATGTCGTTCGCCTTTGACAAAACCCCGTTCCTGGAGCAAGTCCCAGGAGTGCTCAACCTTAACGCTCTCAACACCAAGCTAACAGGAGGAGTATGCGACGACCAAGGCATCCCTCGCGACTTGGGGCTTAGAAAGCTCGCGTCAATGTGAGCACCTATTTCGCGTCGAACGTGCGAGGGGGAGGGAATACTCATAGCCGCGTACACCGAAGTCGTTAGACCATTGCCGTCGTCGCATCCCTACAAAGCCTGGACGAAGCACGCGAGGTTCTCAACGAACCGTGTTAGCACATCACCAATCGCGAAGCCCCGTGGGGTATGTATTCGGCGAGTCGGGGGGAGGCGGGGGGGGGGGGGGG